CATGACGGAAATTTTGACCAATGGCCGGTAAGCTTACACAGGCTCGTAAAAATCACTGCGACTTCAGGCTTTCTCAAACTTCTCTTTGTGGGTTTTCATATGTGCAGTGAGGTTGCCTTTGAGCGCAAATTTCCTCTTGCAAACGTCACACTCGAAAGGCTTTTCGTCCGAATGGATGGTCTGGAGGTGTGCTTTAAGGTGATTATCCTGCGAAAATGTCTTTTTGCACTCACTGCACTCAAAGGGCCTCTCGCCTGTGTGGACCCGTTCATGTTTACGAAGAAGGTGGCTATTAACAAATCTCTTGTCGCACACCTCACACACAAAGGGCCTGTCTCGATGTTCTAAATGTGTTCTTTCATGTTGACTCAACCTCCCCTTGGTTGGAAACTTCTTGCTGCACACTCCACACTCGAACGGCCTCTCATCGGAGTGAACAACTAGATGTGTTGACAACACCGCCTTTGTCGAAAATTTCTTGCCGCAGACCGCGCACTCAAAACGCTTCTCCAAAGTCTGAACTCCGTCACTCGTCGTCGGCTTGGCCCCGGGATGTGAATTGGCGTGCTTGCGCCAATAATAGCGGTTCGCAAACTTCTGGTCGCACTCGGTGCACTCGAAAGGTTTCTCCCCCGTGTGCGTTTGCTGGTGCTGCTTCAGGCTAGGACTGCAGGTGAACGTCACGCCGCACTCTGCGCAGAGGAAGGGCCGCTCGCCCGTGTGCGCGAGGACGTGGCGTTGCAAAAGGGCATTCGTCGCAAACTTCCTGTCGCAAAAAGTGCAAGGGAACGGCCTCTCCCCCGTGTGAGAGCGCAAATGAGTGTGCAGGTGAGGGAGCTGGGTGAACTTCTTGCCGCACACCGTGCACTCGTGGGGCTTCTCGCCCGTGTGAATCAGCCTGTGGATCCTCAGGTAGCAATCCCGCGCGAACTTCTTGTGGCACACCGAGCACTCGTAAGGCTTCTCGCCCGTGTGCATCCGGCCATGCCTGACTAGCGCACGTCTCGTCAGAAACTTGAGCTTGCACTCATCGCACTCAAAGGGCAGTACTCCGGTGTGAATTTTTCGATGCTGGAGCAATACTCCGCTTGCCGCAAACTTTTTGTTGCACTCCGCACACTCGAAGGGCCTCTCTCCAGTGTGGCTTCGCAAATGTTCTTTGAGTTGGTGTTTCGCCGCCAATGTTTTGCCGCACACGTCGCACTCGAAGGGCCCTTTGGTTGTGTGCAGGCGCAGGTGGGTGGTGGGTGCAGAGGTGAGTGCTCTCCCTGAACCTCTCGTTGCACATGCTGCACTCGAAGGGCGCCTCGGCCGCGTGAGCGCTCAGGTGGGCGTCGAGCTCGGACTGGGTGGGGACCCTTTCGAAGCACACGTCGCACTCGAAGGGCATGGCGGGGGGTTAGTCGCCCAGGGTCTGGAAACAACGAGAAAATGGTCGTTAGAAAGAATTTGAATGCCAGTTCCATCCAAATAAGAGTAATCAAATAGCACGATTTAATAATTGTGAAAGTTAGAAATCTCTTGCCACAAGCAGAATGAAGAGAGGAAAGAAGTGCCCCCCCCCCGCCCCCCGGACAATGCGAGGCGGCCTACCCAGGCGGACCGAATACGTCACTATTTGCTTATTTACTTGGGTGAATGTGGGTACTTCAGTCAAGCCTACACTGTCAGAAAAATGAAGCTTAGGATTTATTATTTATTTACAGATTTATTGACACCATCATTAGTTCGTTCTCAACAAAAGAATGTCACAAGAACAGAAGTTTGGAACTGGTACGCCAAACACTGCACAGCAGACTTCCATATTTTCATTCCGCTCAAAGAGCTTCCTCTTCCTTGTGGGTTTTCTTGTGCGCCCGCATGTTGCCGGGAAGTGCGAATCTCCTGTTGCAAATGTCACACGCGAACGGCTTCTCGTCCGAGTGGATCGTCCGGAGGTGCGTCTTCAGATGCGAGCGCTGCCGGAACTTCATATCGCACTCGGTGCACGGGAAGGGCTTGTCTCCGGTGTGGGTTAGGAGATGACTTCGCATGTTCTGAACTTGAGAAAACACCTTGTCGCACACCGTACACGGATAACGTCGCCCCTCACTCGTCGGCTGGGACTGGGAGTGTGCTAACATGTGCGCACGCAAATTATTTTGGTCCTTACATCTTCTGCCACACTCGGTACATGCGAAAGGTTTCTCCGGTTCCTCTCCCGCGTGAGTTTCCTGGTGGTGTTGCTTCAATTTATTATGAGTTGTATATGACATTCCGCATTCAGCACATAAGAATGGCCTTTCTCCGGTGTGGGTTATGAAATGCCTTTTCAGATTGCCACTGGTTGTAAATTTCTGGTCGCAGAGAGTACACTCATACGGCCTTTCTCCTGTGTGAGTTCGCAAATGTTTCCGCAGCCGCGATAGTAGTGGAAATTTCTTGCCGCACACCGTACACTCGTGGGGCTTCTCTCCCGAGTGAATTTGTTGGTGAGCTTTGAAGTTGCCACGGCTACGAAACTTCTTGCTGCACACCGTACACTCATAGCACGTCTGCGCTGTGTGCAAATTGCAGTGATGTGCAAGACGTTTTTTAGTCGGAAATTTAGATTTGCACTCGGCGCACTCGAAAGGCCTGTCGTCTCCTGTGTGGTGTGTTACCTCATGTTCTTGTAGTTGAATTCTACTCCTAAATTTCGCGTCACATTCGGCACACTCGAAGGGCCTATCTCCAGTATGGCTTCGCAAATGTACTCTGAGTTGCCATTTCGTCGCAATTGTTTTGCCACACACGTCGCACTCAAAGGGCCCTTTGTTTGTGTGCAGGCGCAGGTGGGTGCAGAGGTGAGTGCTCTCCCTGAACCTCTCGTCGCACATGCTGCACTCGAAGGGCGCCTCGGCCGCGTGAGCGCTCAGGTGGGCGTCGAGCTCGGCCTGGGTGGGGACCCTTTCGAAGCACACGTCGCACTCGAATGTCATGGCGGGGGGTTAGTCGCCCAGGGTCTGAAAAGAACGAGAAAATGACCGTTAGACAGAATTTGAATGTCAATTCCATCCAAATAAGACTAATCAAATAGCATGATTTAATTGTGAAAGTTACAGTAATCTTATGCCACAAGAATGAATTGCAGATAGATAAAGCAACACGAGTGGGAAGTGCACCGCTCCCTCCCCCCCTTTGGACCCTGCGAGGCGCCCTATCCTAGGTCCGAGAATGTCGCTACTGGGTGGCTGTACTTGGGTGGGTACTTTGGTCTGCCACTGTGAAAAAAGGTAGGTAGGTTTACAGGAAAAAATTTCCATGGCGCAAGGCGTAAAATTACGATTTGTAATCGTAAAAATACATGCAGTATGTATCGACTTCAAATCCCTTGGCGAGTAAAAAATGTGCTGTCGTAAATTTATAACTTAAATTATAATTCAAGTTTACAATTTTGTTTGTAAATTTACGACGACATTTTTCACAGTGTGCTAGCTGCTACTACACAATCAGAAAAATGAAGCTCATATATATATTTTTTGTATTTATTAACAGATTTATTGACATTCGTTTATTCTTTCTCAACAAAAGAATGGCAAAAAAAAACAACAACAGAAGTTTGGAACTTGTACGCTAAACACTCCACATACTTCCACAGTATGTCGCGCGTTCATGTATTCGCAACGCTTAAAGGGCTTTCTCTTCTTTGTGGGTTTTCTTGTGCGCGCGCAGCTTGCCGGGAAGTGGAAAGTTTTCGTTGCAAACATCACACGCGAACGGCTTCTCGTTCGAGTGGATCGTCCGGAGGTGCTTCGTAAGATGCGGCTGTTGCCTGAACTTCTTTTCGCACTTGGTGCACTGGAACGGTCTGTCTCCGGTGTGGATTAGGAGATGACTTTGCATATACTGGAGGGACTTGAACACCTTGTCGCACACCGTACACGGAAAACGGCGCCCGTCGTCACTCGCCGGCTGTGAGTGGACCAGCTGGTGCATTTGCAAACGATAAGGGTCCGTAAACTTTTGGTCACACTCGGTACAGGCGAAAGGTTTCTCCGGTTTCTCTCGCGTGTGAGTTCGCTGATGATCCTTAAATTTTGTATGAGTTTTAAACGCCTTGCCGCATACAGCGCATAAGTACGGCTTCTCTCCGGTGTGGGTTCTGAAATGCCTCTTCAGATTGCCACTGAGTGTAAATTTCTGGTCACAAAGAGTACACTCATACGGCCTTTCTCCTGTGTGAGTTCGCAAATGATCCCGCAGCCGCGATAGTAGTGGAAATTTCTTGTCGCACACCGTACACTCGTGTGGCTTGTCTCCCGTGTGAATTTTCTTGTGAACATTGAAGCTGCCACGGATTCGAAACTTCTTGCCGCACACCGTACACTCGTAGCACGTCTCGGCCGTGTGCTGTCTTCGGCAGTGAGCGGTGAGACGACTTTTGGTCGGAAATTTAGAGTCGCAGTCGGCGCACTCGAAAGGCCTGGCGTCTCCTCCTTCGTGTCCAGTCTGATGGTAGAGCAGCGGCGACCTCGACCGAAACCTCATGTCGCAAAACGGACACGCGTAAGGCTTCTCGCCCGTGTGGATTCGAAGGTGTATTTTGAGTTTGAGGTTCGTCGCCAATTTCTTCTGGCACACGTCGCACTCGAAGGGCCCTTTGGTTGTGTGCAGGCGCAGGTGGGTGCAGAGGTGAGTGCTCTCCCTGAACCTCTCGTCGCACATGCTGCACTCGAAGGGCGCCTCGGCCGCGTGAGCGCTCAGGTGGGCGTCGAGCTCGGCCTGGGTGGGGACCCTTTCGAAGCACACGTCGCACTCGAAGGGCATGGCGGAGGGTGGGCTCGTCTGGAAACAACGAGAAAATGGCCGTTAAAAAGAAAAGCTCCATTCAATTAGACTTCCCGATTCTAGACATAGTCTTGCCTCAAAATCCAAAGTTGTGATTTCCCTATGGCAATTGCTTTCTTTACGTTGAATAAGTTCTCCTCAGTTCTGCCCCCCCCCGGTCCAGCCCCTCTTTCCCTCCCAGTCACCCTCAATCCGCGCCATTAACACCGAGATCTAAAGTCACTCACTCTCTCAAGAAATTTTCTATTGTAGGTTCTTATTTCCTTTTACAAAAAGTACAGCATCATTATTTTTAACGTTTATTTAGAATTATTCAACAGCTCTTTACGAGTTAACACACTTAACACAAAACATTGTCAAACAAAAGGCTTTCGTAATTTACTGGCAATATGCAGATTCGTTTATTTCGAATTATTAGAATTATTTTACATGTTAACAATTAATTAAAAAAACATTGAAAAAAATTTCGAGATCTAGTAGCGATATGTATGCTCGGACAAGTTCTCGTTGTATGCAGAACACTTCAAACTGCTTCCTCTTTTTTGTGGGTTCGCTTGTGTGCGAGCATGTTGCCACGGAGCGCAAATTTCCGCTTGCAGATGTCGCACTCGAAAGGTCTCTCGCCCGTGTGAGTAGTCTGATGTGACTTGAGTTGCGCCGCCTGTGCAAATTTCTTTTCGCACAATGCACACTCGAAGGGCTTCTCTCCCGTGTGGGTTCGCCGATGAAGAGTCAGGGCCGACTTTTGGGTGAATCTCTTGTAGCAGATCGGACACTCGAAGGGCTTGTCCCCCGTGTGCACCACCTGGTGCGCGCGAAGGGCCGAGGCGCCCCAGAATGCTTTGCCACACGCGGGGCAGCGATGAGTCGCCTCCCCTGTGTGCTTTCGGCTATGCTGTGCCAGGGCAGAGCGGGTCGCAAATTTCTTGTCGCACAGAGTGCACTCCACGGTGAGTAGCTCCGCGTGAGAGCGACGGTGGGCGTGCAGAGAGCCAGCCGACGGGAAGTTCCTGTGGCACACGGTGCACTCGATCTGTCTCTCGCCTCCTGGACCGTGCTCAGGTCCATCCAGGTCCGGGTGCATCGTTCGCTGATGATGCTTCAAGCAGTTGTTAGTTGTGTATGCCTTGCCACAGGCAGCACATAAAAATGGCTTTTCTCCTGTGTGGGTTATGAGATGCCGTTGAAGGTTGGCATTGACTGAAAATTTCTTATCGCAAAACGTACACTCAAACGGCCTCTCTCCTGTGTGAGTTCGCAAATGTTTCCGCAGATGCGGTCGTCGTAGAAATTTCTTGTCGCACACCGTACACTCGTGGGGCTTCTCTCCCGTGTGCATTTTCTTGTGAACATTGAAGTAGCCGAGCGTTCGAAACTTTTTGTTGCACACCGTGCACTCATAGCACGTCTCCGCTGTGTGCAAACGGCGGTGATTGTCCAGACGACTTTTGGTCGGAAACTTGGAGTCGCACTCGGTGCACTGGAAAGGCCTGTCGTCTCTGGCGTGTGCTGTTCGATGGTCGAGCAGCGCTGACCTGGACGAAAACTTCATGGCGCACAACGGACACTCGTACGGCTTCTCGCCCGTGTGGATTCGCAGGTGTACACTGAGTAGCCATCTCACCGGAAAGTTCATCTGGCACACGTCGCAGTCGTAGGGCCCCTCCGCCGCGTGCAGGCGCAGGTGGGTGCAGAGGTGAGTGCTCTCCCTGAACCTCTCGTCGCACATGCTGCACTCGAAGGGCGCCTCGGCCGCGTGAGGGCACA